GGAAATTACTCAAAAATACAAAATACAGCCAAAACAGGACCTAAACCAGGACTTAACCAGGATTGACAATGGGGGACACAGTAGTTGTGAACATATGCCGGCAGCTGAGTTCTCATTCAGGCTTGATTAGTGACTATACTAGCGCAGCTAGCATTAGCGTGTTCGCCGATGCATAAGTACCGTACCATACCAATAAAATAAACTTATGGCGCACCTCCGTGAACACATACTGCTGTTATATAAAGTCTCTAGAAGGTCTCTGAACACAGAGATGCTGCAGACTTGCATTCTTGGAGTAGAACTTTACACAAAAAACCCGCTAGCTTAGCTGTTAGCATCAAAGCCCGCCCGCTACTTCCGGTGGGCGCTACCGCAGCAGGACTTCTGTACGCCCCATTGGTGAACCCACATGTCAGTCACTTGTCATTCGCCTGGTGTGTCTTAAGCCACACAAAGTCAACATGTTGGTATTTCTTTCTCGTAATCTGCCATAAAGTCTGAGAAATTATTGACATTTGAGGCATCTGTTTCATATTTTCTTTACAAAGGTCCTGGCAGTTTTATTCCTGGTCATTTTTTGTTAAGAGACTTGAGTATTTTATTTATTGTTTTTGGTTGTTTGTAAATTTATTGTGTTCTAGCGTTAAATATTCGTTAAAAATAAAAGTTTATTTCTCTTTGAAAAGGTGTACCTGCATGATCATTGTAATCGATGCAAATGATCTCAGAACGCCAATATAATCGCTTATCGCAATAATTTCTGAGACAATTAATCGTCCAGCAAAATTTGTTATCGTGACAGGCCTATCAGTACGTCTACAAAGACTCGGTACATCCTTACCCTGAACTGTTCCTGTATGGCAGGGTATGGACATGTAACTTGCTTTTAATGTTCAATTACAGTCTTAACCTGGTGCACACCCATTGACCCCTTTATTAGTGTAATCTGCGTTATGTTTTATGTTCTGCGCTGTCTGAAGAAGGAGCAGGACACAAGGAGGACCACTGAATGACATTTACTAGTAGCTCTGCACAAAATAAAACACATCCACTTCACGTCTATCCATGCATTCAGCTCAGCAGTCCCCTCCTCAGATGCAAGGCGCAGTTCTCCTGATAAAGGGAAAAAGCCACATTAATAAGTAGTTACTACATTTTGAGTGGTATACAGGTTGAAAACTTTTGTTCTCCAGTTGTCTTTGTATTAATGGTAAAAAGACAAGTTTGTGATTTTAGCTCTAAAATATTGGTGTGCTCTTCATCCACTCACAGTATCAGTATTGTTGTGACTAGAAGGCTACGCAGGCTCACTTATGAACAACTGTTTAGTTAGTTATTTGAAGACTGTTTCTCCTCAGACTAAAACGAAGGAGCCTCCCTAGCTACTTATTTAGCAAAACAGCTAATGTTAGCATTTTAGCAACGTCAGCTGTTTGTTATAGCGGCGCTATAAGTGAGCTGGCTTTAACTTAACTGATCATGATTAAATCAGGTAGCAGCGGGTTCTCTTCTTATAGCGACATGATGTAACCAAGTGATCACTTATGGGTTGGAGTTGGACTTTTTCATTATTAGCTTCTGTAGGACACAGACACTTACCAGCTATGAAGTTTGCTCTTAGCATTTATGTACGCAGGTCTCCGTAGATGGCCTGAAGCCTGTTCTTCGTCTTCTGTAGTAACCAGACTGTAAAGATTGTAGCAACGTGCGTATGTTTTGCTTTTGTGACATCCGGTGTCTCCAGCCAATGGGCGCTGAGCCCGCCCCTCCAAAAAGGGGTCAGATGAAAAATGTATCGTAACCGTAAGTTTTGACTCGTAAACGTAACTTGTGAATCGTAAACGTAACTTGTGAATCGTAAACGTAACTTGTGAATCGTAAACGTAACTTTTGAAGCGAAACATGAAAAATCAGAACCGTAAATGTAAGTTTTAATTTTTTTCATTTACAATATATTTTTAATGTTTACAATACTACAACCTACGATTACAATTCCTGCTTTACGGTTACGCTACAGTTTTTTCGTTTACAATATTTTTTTATGTTTACAATACTTACAACCTACGTTTACAATTCCTGCTTTACGGTTACGTTTAAGCAGACCCTATTTTGACGCCATATCTGAGCCCAAACTGCTTTTCCTTCGAAGCACAAAGCTCTCTGCTCCATAGTGCCTCGTCCATTGTCCCTGCTGCAGCCGCTCCGTGCTTCCTTCCAATACACACACACGGACCAATCACAGCGGAGATTCCTTGCGGCGACCCTTACGTAGTTAGAAAATTTCGATGCTGCGCGGCAGGCAACGTAAGGGCCTTGCAGTGACCAACGCGTTGCGCAAGTGACGTCACGTCACCTCCGTAAGCTCCGCGCCGCGCGAGTATTCACTAGGCTTTAGTCCAGTGGACAATTCTTGTTTTCCTGTAGCCCTCAGTCCTGCTCCTCTCCACTGCCTAGTCCAAAAGTCGGCTATTGGCCCAACACTAAGTTGCAGATGCGTGTCAATGCTGAGGTACGTTTTTTTTTTTTTTTTTGTGGACCAGCCTAGTTTAGCCGCTGTGGACTTTTGAATGCACTCGTTAAATTAATGGGGCTTGTGCCGGCAAACTCTTCACTTCCTGTTTACACTAGGCTTCTGTGGCCAACCAGCTCGAGCATGGATTGTGTTCTTTGCAATCCATTAAGATTCAATGAGTACAATTGTGAAATGTGTCTTTCTCAAATGTGCAGCAGCTTAGTGGGTAATGCCTTGGAGTAAGTGGTGTGAGACCAGAGCAGGTCGGCTCTCACGGCAAGGTGGGTTGGTTAGCTCAGCCATGCTTGTTGTTGTTTTTTTTTTTTTTTTCTGGAGGTGTGTGCTGTGGATGCGCGCTCTCGGTCCATTCCCTATAGCGTTTTGAAGACCACACTTATTGAATTTCAGTTTCGCTTTACTTGGCATATTTAATTAATTGGAATTTGGATGTTTGTCAATACTTCTCAATTCTTCCACGGCAAAATCACAATTAATATAAGAATCAGAATTTCCTCCACCTCTAATGAACAGACACCAAATAGTTTCCAATGCTACACCTTGTTTGTATTGCAACGTTTGTTTATCAGCTTGGAGACAACGCATCTAATGCAGGGATGTCAAAGTCAATGGGCCGATTCAAACAGAGGACCTTCTCGCTGAAAAGTGAGAGTGCTCAGCACGGGATTCTCTGTGCTATGGTCCAGCTCAAAATAAAAACCATGAAAGCTAATGTTAAATAGTGTGCAGACATATACACAATATCTTATATAACCTGTGTTGTCCTGGTGGTACTCCGCACACACAGTGACACAGACGCTCTACATTCATCACAATTAAACTTTGCCCATCCAAGAGTCTGCCGTCATATTTCTCTATAAATTGTGATTTGTGCTGGTTGCCTGGGAACAAACGATCGCAACTGGTTAAGCTCATTAATCATCGCACTGTCCTCCTGGTCCCATTTCTCTGGCACACAGCCCTAAAATACCAACTTTGAATGCTCTACCTTTAACTGGCTTTCAAATGTTTTTTTTGTTTTTAATCCATAGGACATTTTTGTAACTTCAAAATACTGCAGTCATGATGATACTCTTCTATTTAAAAGACATACATTATGCAAAAAAATACTTTTTTGTTTATTTCATTGTAGATTTTTTAAAATGTAAGTAGGTAAGTAATCTTTATTTATATACCGCCTTTCACAGACCAGAGTCATGAAGCGGTTTACAATTGTGGGCAATTGTCCTCTCACTCCACACAGAGAAGGGAGCGGGGTCGCCAGGACAGGAGGCGCATGCTAGACCTTTTGAACATGTTTTTAGTGGTAGGGGAAACCGGAGCACCCGGAGGACACCTGCGCAGACACGAGGAGAACATGCAAACTCCACTCATAAAGACCCTGTTCCGACCGGGATTTGAACCCAGGACCATGCTGAGAGTGCTATCCACTCAGCCACCGTGCCACCCATACAAAATTTGTTGCAGGGCAGTACTTCAGATTTACTAAACTCATGTGGCTGAATTTGAGTGAACATGCGTCCAACCGTCCATCTACGAGCGTGGATGTGTCGACAATGGGAAAACACCCTTATGGGGCGTTCATACCGGCTCATGTGTATTTACATGATTTATGGTACGGCGAAGAAACGCATGCATCACTCAACTTCCTCACTTGATACACAATCAGAGAGCAACTAAGTGGTCACAGGGACACCAGACGGTCAAAACAGGAAGACGAAAACAATCAAAACAAGTGCTAAACCAGGACTAAACCAGGATTAAACCAGGACAGACAATGTGGAACATAGTGCTTATGAACATATGGAGTTGACATTCTACTGTGACTGCATTCAAATGCTGCTAAAATGATGGCCGATCCAAAAGTACATGTAATAATAGAACACATCCAAGGCACAGCTGCATGACCAAACACTCCTGTAATCTAACATCTCTGGAGGATCTCAGGGCATCGACACGCCGCAGATCTGCGCTCGTGTTGAAGAACTTCACACAAAAAGCTCCGAGCTTAAAATCGTTAGCACCAAACCCCACCCACCACTTTCGCCCTGTGTTTTTCACCATTGCACGGCAGTACGTCAGATTTACTAAACTCCTGTGGCTGAAATTTTGTGAACGTGCATCCAAGATGCACAAAGGCTACATTGATACGTCTGCGGTGGGAACAAACTCTTAGCAGTTGTTTGCAAGTTTGAATAAGTTGTGCTACATCAGGAGTGTCCAAACCAGCCCAGAAAGGGCCGCTGTGGTTTTCTATCAGACCCAGCAGAGCAGAGCAGATTCCACCCATTTCCTCAAGTGAGTTCAGTCTTAACCTGAAGATTAGAGGAAATGGGTGGAAGCCGATTTGCTCCGGTGCTGGGTCTGATATAAAATCTGCAGCCACAGCGGCCCTTTCTGGACCGGTTTGGACACCCCTGGGATACATTAATTCAACACAGTGCCATGCATGTTTTGGTTTGGGTCTTACCTTAAACTCATCCTTCTTAATGACTCCACCAGGTTGCAGATGTTGCCGGATCTCATGGAGCACAGTGAGCATAGCAATGTTGGTTTTCCCAGCACCCGTGGGTGCACAGATGAGAAGGTTCTCGTTGGTGTTGTAGGCAGTCTCAAAAACCAAAGATTGGATTCTGTTCAGGCGCTTCATCCCTTTGAACACCAGCTGACCAATCTGGGAAAAAATAAGAAAATGTAACAATTGTTCACCAGTTGGAACAATACCAAAAACAGTCAGTTGATTCATAAGTATACATACCTGTCAAACATTAAGAGTAAAGTATTATTTGTTCTAGCTTTTATTCATCACATCATTAAAAGGTCAGAAGGGGCCGTGCCTTTAAGCCTAGCGTACATCGACAGAGAAACTGGGGACAACTAGTTGCAAGGCGGCTTTTGGCAACTGAGAGGAGATGGTGGGAGATGATCAGTTGCCAAAATCGGTCGATGTGTGCGCTCTCACAACTGGAGATGATCAGTCGGTCTACAGTTTCAGTCAGTTGCCCGTGTTCTACTTTTCGGCAACTAGTTGTCCTCAGTTTCGGAGATATGACCCGATGTGCGCGCTCCATGCGCCGCTCCAACAACGTGTGTGTATTGCGTGTATTGCGAGCCCGCAACAGTTTATGTCAGAAAACACACTGTAGTTGAGGCCAGTTGCTGTCGATGTACGCGCTGTTATTCCCGAGACTGGTCTGCTACTGGGAGTTGCCCGTTTTCGTCAGATTTTTCGATGTGTGCGGGGCAGCAACTCATATGCGACGGATATAATCAGTTGCCAGTCCGATGTACGCTAGGCTTTAAATTGCTTAAAGGATAGAGCTTCAGAAGCAACAACATTATGAAGTGGGGGTGTTTTGTTGTGGGAGGGACTTTGGAATAATAAAAATGAGATACAAGATGAGATAAGATAAGATAGACTTTATGGATCTCACACAGGAGCAATTTACATGTCACATTTGGCATGGATAATCACTCAAGACAGAAGTGTGCAAACATGTTAAAGAGCGACTAAACACCAAATCAACTTTTTTCAACTCAGAAACTGCATAAATATGTTTATTGTAGTGCTCTCTACATATCCTGGTCATTTTTTTGACATTTTAGTTCAAATTAGATAAAATATCACTTTTGAGCCAAAAAACGTCTGTGTGGCGCCCTCTCAACCTTTTTGGTGGTACTACATTTGAATTTGGTTCTGGCCTCTCCATTGACTCTGAAGTTCTCTATGACATCAGTTGTTTTGTGTGACGTCAGTCTGTCTGTGCCAGTGATATAAACCCATTCAACTCTCACACACGCCCCAGCTACAGTTTGGAGTATTCTGGCGCCATCTAGTGGATTAAAATTAAATTACATGAGTAATTCTGAGATTATTGAGTGTGATTAGGTTCTTTACAATTATCTAAGTGTGTAAACAAGGGTGGAATGAGACTTTCTGGTCTGTAAACTATTGCTTTGAGCAGCAATGACAACTCTGTTTTTTTTTAGTGAGACAAGTGAGCTGTCAATCACAGCCCAGACCACGCCCAACTCTAAGCCCCCCTTATTGTCCCTTGGTCCTCCAGGCAACGCCCTTTTAAAAGAAACTTTTCAAATGTTCATGTGGGCGGATGTAAACATGACGCAACACTTAGAATTGTTAATGTTACATAACTTTTTTGTTTATTTTTTTCTGTTATAAGTGGTGTTCTCTTATAAATTGTCGTCTGTTTCACATAAAATGTATGAAAAACTTCTGGTGCCTATTTTCTAAACAAAGTAAACAAAATGTAATATAAGAATTGTCTAGCTGTAGCATAATACAAAATATCACAAGGAACCCTAACATGTTGCTTTTTACACACAATATTGGTCAGTGCTATTGGTAATGGACATGAAGTTGGCAACTAAAGTTAGAATCAATCCGCCATGTGTAAAAGTACGAAGTGAAAGAGTCAAATGCGGAGTCTCTTGTCGGACATCGAATGCAGACAGACGATCAGTAACCGCCAGACTCTGTGACAGCGAGACGCCAGTGGAACTATAGGCTCTGCAAATGTCTGTGTGGGAGGCTTCAGCTGTCAATCAAATAGCCCTGCGCTTTGGCCCTCAATCTTACTGTGAGCGATAAGGAGAGAGGGGGCGAAATGGCCATCATGGTGGACAGAGAACACAGGTGCAAGAAACGCAGGGAAAATAGACCACAGAAACCTGAAAAAAGACCAGAGAGGATGGGAAAGAGAGAGTGGGTTTGACCGAAAAAAAGATCAAAGACTCATGTAGAACATGTAGATTGCTTTAAGATTGCTTTTAGTTTGCCTTAGGTTTGAAAATAGTAACCTCAGTGTTATTTGAGGTATTCTAGTAGAGTTTTGACAAAAATGTTTACTTAATCTTAGTCAATGACAAGAAAACAAGAGAATAGAGCTGTAACATGCCAATCAGGTAAACATTCCTGTCTGACTAAAATATATATATAGATTTTCATTAGTTTCATTCCAAAATTTAAAACAGAATTATTTTGTACATACAAATATTAATACAAATCTGTTTATATTTTCTCTGTTCATCAGTTACGGCGAGATCACATAAAAACTAAGCACAGATCAGATTAATTTCCTAAATTTGTACACGGCAATGGAAAATGTTTCCAGTTTTGCTCACATTTAGTCTGACTTCCTATTTTTTCCCAAAGCCTATGCTGTCTTAATATACATTAGAATGAATGAAATGTTACTATAAATTTTAGCTTCCTGTTGCTCCTCGCCCCTACATCTTGGGTGAGGATACCTTGAGCTTAGACAGGCCATATTATTTATTCAAGGATTCATTAGAAGTATGTCATCACTTTTCCCCCCTCTGCGTTTCGCTCCAACACTCAGAACGAAATAATTAAAGAGCGCGCGTCGGCAGGGATGGCGATGTAAGAGCGAGAGAGGGAAGAGAGAAGGAAAGAGTGAGAGGGGAGGGAGTTGGAAGGGCAGAGGTTATTAATGCATCAAAGAGTAACTTTATTAGAGTCCATTTAAGCTGGCAGGAGTGTGCGTGGGGCAGCTTAGGGTCGTGAAGAAATATCCAGAACATGGCAGCCAGCATCAGTGCAGAGAAGACGGCCAAGACATTTATATGTAACAAGACTACATGTGAAGTTTTATTAGTGGGTTTAATATTGCTGAGTATGTAGGAGCACATGCACACTAAATCTAGCAATAAGGGGTTATTAGTCTCAAGGCAGAAAACATTCATACAGTACAGTACAGTACAGTATTGAGTCTGGAGCCATAAGTATCCGCTATTGGTTCAAGGAATCAATTACATATTTTATCTCTGCTGACATGGAAGAGATAATTACGGTACTATAGTTGAGATAGTGGATCACAAACAAAAAAAAGAGATCAAATTGGTTGTTCACAATATAATTGGAAACAACAAATAATTTGCATTGCAACTCATCCTTTGAACACCACTGAAAAAAGCTGTAAGGAGCAGCAGCCACTGAGTGAACAAGTTATTTGAAGCTAAGCTTGGTCTGGACCTGGAGAATTTTGTATATTGTGCAAATTACCCAGACAGTTACTTTGAGAGAACTATATGTTAATAATTTTAAGCGATACAAACTACTTACTTCCTGAGAATATAGAGAGAATCACGAAGCGATGAGCTTACCCTCTCACCCGCACCAAAGAGCCAAAGCTATCATCACTGACCTGTCTTTTGATTTATTGACTTTGTTTGTAACAGAAATGCCACTGTCCCCTCGTTTCTTAAACATGCTAATTCATGCAAATGTATGCTGGCCCGGCATTCACCTTGAGCTAAAGCACACATGTTGTAAATAGAACGTTGCCATCGTTTAATGATCTTTGAAAATCTTTAGTGCAATTGTATTCTCTCCTTAAAGCCCCTCATTCTTAATTGTTATGCAAATTAATGCATGTGCACATCTTCCCATTGGAGATCCAGCAGTTCCAGTTTCCAGTTTCAAGTTGTGATGGCACTGGAGCTGCATTTACTATACTGCAACAAAGTTTATGATGTAAAAGAAAATTGCTTCAAAATTGTGTTTCATGACAATGTAAACAAACTAAAAGATTTGTATACTTGAACATTGAGTAACAGTCCTATTGATAAGTTTGTGTAAGCCCTCAGTCGTACAGGGATTAGTCAAAGCAAAGGAAGGTTTCTCACCCATCATCTGTACTTCTTAGCAAGTTTTCCCGACGTTTCGTCCTCAACCTGGGGACTTCTTCAGGGAATGAATTCTCGGACCGCGCGTTGGAGATTTATAACCTATGGGTGTGGTAAGCCACACCCTAATCCTGATACTAACTCGTAAACAATCTACGGTCTGCTTGATGTAGAAGGGAGCAGGTCTAACGACCGTGCTGAGGCTAACGACCCTAACTCATTAGCATGTCACAGACCTATTGTCTGCTGGGATGCTCAAGTGGAGTGCAGGTTTCACCCCTCCTAACTCATTAGCATGTCACTGACCTTGTCCCAAGTTAGGGCGTTGTTTTTAGGATGTCGTCATAGATGCGAGGCAAAACAAATCTTAACCCTCCTCCTCTGTTAAGAGAAGGTTTTTGTTTCCTCACAAAAATGGCTTCTTTCACCCCTCTCTCAAACCAATTCTTCTCCCGAGCCAGAATTTTAACCTCTGTGTCATCCACCGTGTGGTTGGAGGCCTTGAGGTGGAGATGAACAGCCGACTGTGGCCCACTAGAGTTTTCTCTACGATGTTGGTAAAGTCGTTTCTGTAGAGTTTGTTTGGTTTCTCCAATATAGTGGTCAGTGCACTCCTCTTCACTACATTTAATTGAATACACCACATTGCTCTGTTTGTGTCTGGGTGTTTTGTCTTTGGGATGCACTAATTTCTGTCTTAACGTGTTGAAAGGTTTGAAATACACAGGGATTTTGTGTTGCCTAAAGATTCTTTGTAGTTTCTCTGAAACTCCCGCCACATACGGTAAGGACACCCCTCTCCTCCTACTTTCTTCTGTCTGTTGGACTGTGTCTCTGGCCTTTCTCGTCCTTTGGGCTTTAGTAAAAGACCACTTGGGGTAGCCACATCTGGAAAGTGCTCTCTGAACATGTTTGGTTTCTCTGTTCTTTCCCTCCGTGCTAGTGGGGACGGGGGATGATTTGAATCAAAGGCCAGGTACTGGTCAGTGTGAGTGGACTTTCTGA